TCTCTCTCTCTCTCTCTCTCTCTCTCTCTCTCTCCCCAGAGTCACAGTTGTTGAAAGGCCGGGCGACTTCACACCTTATCGGAGGCTTCTGTCATTTGACACATGCAAGGGATGCTGGGACTGTGACAGAGGGAGGCTGTGTGCTATGCTTTGTCTTTTCCCCGCCAGGAGAACTCAGTGACTTAATTACACAGAGTGATGTAGCGAGGCAGCTGAAGTTAGTTGTTTTGCAGCCGAGCCATGTAATGAGAATTTCACATCAAAAGATGAGTGCGGTGCAAATGAGCAGATGGTCTGGTTTTGAGTATTGCTCTTTATTACCCAGGTTAGAACAATAAACACCAGCAAAAAAAAAAAAGATTAGTTTTTGCTGACTGACCATTAAGGATGTGTGTGTGTTACTATAAAGAGAAATCAATACGCTTGTTGCCCAAAGCGTACAAATATTATTTATCCCTACTAACAAATATTCTCTTGGCCACTTGTGTTTGTGTGTAATTCATTGTGTGTTCTTTGAAGAGGGTGTGTGCGTCCCAGCTGGAGTAAAGACTGTTTGTATTATTGGTGATGAAAGAGGGGCCCCCAGGGGCCTCAGTAATGGGCTGGGAGACTCCTGACTTCTTATAATGGCCTCTACATATGTGTGTGAGAGAGAGAGGCACAATTGGCGCACTACATAATTGTCAATGGGAGGACACGACACGCGTTTCCATAATAAAATGGAGCCGATGCACAAAGATGCAGAGAGACGGAGCCTGTCCCGCACATAAAGGCAGGGACACAAAGAGACACAATGTCTCACACACACTCACACATTGTGGTGCCAGCTGAGCCCAGTGTGTCCAATAACAGCAGGTGCTGTCAAGTGCAAGCAGAGCAGACCTGCCATGACATGGAAACACACACACACACTCATTCATATACCTTCCTCTTCTTTTAAGTCTCGCATCCAATAAACATTCTCCTACTTAAAGCTAATGTTGAGTAGGTGTAGTTTACACAAGGTTATTGTTCACATGTGTGTTTATGTGTGTGTGCATGTGTGTGTGTACCTGCTATTTGGCTGTGAATGGCTGTAGTGTTGCCATATGGTCTCACATTAGGGCTCCCTAAACTCAGCCATGCAGAAGTGTGTGTGTGCATGTGTGTGCGTGTGCGAGTGTGTTGTGTGAAGAGAGTGAGAAAAACGGAAAATAAACCCCAAATTTGATATGTAAGCTGTCGATGTTTAAACACTTGGGGTTCATAGTGTAGAACTGTAAATATCGGTATCTTTTTGGGCTAAATGAAGCCAGTAATGATCCTTCTTTCTTTCTTCTTAATGCACCACCTTCTTTGTCTCCTGCTTCCTCGTCCCTGTGTGTGTTAATATATTTAGCAGTGCCGTATCATACGCTGCGCTGACTTCATTAACTATCTCAGCATGAGGCTCTAGTGGCTGAATGATAATAAAGCTACACTACAGACACACACAGTCCTGGAAGCCTAACAGTAATGTATAGATTACTGACAGTTTATTAGGGCTGCACCGAATTACATTTGTTTTTACGCCCAAAGCGTCTACTGTGGTTTTCAAATGAATGTCTGTCATTATATTTTATAATGCCATCGCCCCCCAAAAATAGACGTTTTCACTGTGGTTATATAAATGTAATTTACGGTGCTCTTACATTGCTGCCAGACCGGCTAATACTGGTGCGTGCCTGCCTTTGTGTGCGACGAGTGGAGGAGCAAATCTTTTTTTAGTTTTTTTTGGGCCATTTTGCTTTTATTTGAAAGATAAGTTAGGTAGACAGGAAAGGGGGGGGGGGCATGCAGCAAAGGGCCTGGGGTCGGATTTGAACCTGGGCTGCTGCAGTAAGGACTCATCCGTGGTACATGGGGCGCCCCTGCTACTAGAAAAGCTTCCTGGGCAATAAATATGGATTGAAGCAGAATGTTTGGTTCGATAAAAACATGTTGTGGATTTTGGAAATGATTACATCTATCTTTTTCCAATAAAATCTGACTGTTGGACTTAACAAAGCTCTTGAGTTACTGAATATGTTTGGATCACAGAAGGCGTAAAGAATCCAGCCACCACTAGAATCTAATTCTACAAACAGTATAACATGGATAATATTAGTGTCGCCTGGTCTGCAACTGTGCAGAAACAGAATAAAAGAAAACGAAAGAAACAAAAAGCTCAGAATGTCACTGTCGTTGATTTGTTGTTCCTCGCCACTAATCTCCTCCTCTTCCTCTTCCTCCTCCTCTTCCTCCTCCTCCTCTCAGGTCAGTGTGTTGGAGCGTCAGGTGATAGACTTCCTGGGCTACCAGTGGGCTCCCATCCTGATCAACTTCCTCCACATCATCGTCGTCATCCTGGGCCTGTTTGGCACGATTCAGTTCAGGCCGAGATATGTCACCGGGGTGGGTTTTACACACACACACACACACACACACACACACACTCATTTGAAACAGCCATTTTACATATCCTTTGCCCTAGATTTAGCAACAGCCTCTAATGAAACTATACTCAGCTCTCCTCATCGAATAACGAAGGCTGAAAGACACTGGATTGGAGTGAGTTTAAAGTTTAAAGGTTTTATTTTCTGTTTCTCTGGAAGTCATTTGTAGGTTTCATACCACTACCATCCATTAAAATTGTATGATAGTCATCACTTTAAAAAAAACTGATCCTCCCTCATATGTTCATATCTGGAAATAGCTCTCTCTCTCATATATATATATACGACTGATAATGCCAATCTGACAACAAATGATAATATGGTAAGTAAAAGGTTATAGCAGTGATGTGGAGTGGGTGGAGGAATAACTTGCCTTTATTTGTTTCTATACTCTGGTCTCTGGCAGCTGTCGATGAAATAATTCATGTGTCAGAAAACTTTCAGAAGTTCTCACAGCGGCTGTAGGGCCTCCACACAACCCACCCATACATCATGTAATCCCCCCCACCGACACCTCTCAACGACCCTCACGTGCACAAACACACACACACACACACACACAGAAAATTGAGTGAGGAGATTCAGATACTGAAATGGAATAAAAGTTGTATCCAAGCTTATAAAATCTGAGTTACTTCCATCATTCATGCATTCCTGTGTATAACTCCTTGTAACACAGACACACACACACACACACCTATTTTCTCTCTCTGTCTGGTTTGATTCCGTTGATTGGTTGCACTCTTCGCCATTGTTTTTGTTTCTCCGCATCTTAACAACATCAAAAGTGAAGCCTCCCTCTGTCTTTTCCCTCTGTCTCCAGCTCGCTCCAAATGCAAGACATGAACATGCATTTTTAATCTACAACAAAGACCTGTCAGATCTCGTCTGCCTCTCACTCTCTTCTCCCCCCCTCCCTGTTTTCTCTGCAGTACGCAGCCTGGCTGGTCGTGTGGATGACCTGGAATGTTTTCATCATCTGTTTCTACCTGGAGGTTGGAGATCTATCCAGAGTAAGGAAAAAAAACAACAACTTGGATTTCAAAATTCAGATGCAAGAATAAGGCTGACAGTGTAGAAATTCATTGATTCTACTAAGTATTGACGGTGTAACCAGAGTCTGATGTAACTTATTCCTCTGGACTATAGAGCTCTATTTTATTCCAAAAACTACTTAAACCACCACACACCTGGAAAAACATCCACTTAGACTCAAGGATGAACTGATAAGAATTTGGTGGTCAACTGTCAAAAGAGGTCACTGCTATGTCACATTTTTGGCCATAACTTAATAATTCATATGCTAATTATGCTAATTTCACACAAATGCCTAACAAGATCAATTATAAAAAATATGACATATTAGACGGACATTGATGTAAACTGCAACTTGACTGATTCAAGGAGGCAATCAACTGTGAGGTGGTAATGCTAGTTGTTTTTTTTTCATTTTTTTATTTTTCTAAAACTATATTTTTGTTTGTGACCCGTGTTTATTAAGATTTACATTTTAGTAGGAACCATCAGGTTTGGGGTTGAGAGCCACAAGCAGGGTAGAGAAGTAAGAAAGTATTAAGACTAATAACTTCGTGGTTTGTTCAGAATGAAATACAATTTAATTTAGCCACAAATTTGTGTCTTCCTTTGCGAAAAACACTATATCAACACATCCATCGAAACAGATCACTGCTCTGTGAAACTAGTCGGTTGTCTTTTTGATATGCTCACTTCAAGCCAGTGTCTGCACTCTGCAAATGATCACTTGTGAAGTAAAAGAGAAGTGAAACTCTGCAGCATCGCTCTGCTGTCGTGTAGTTCACAGACACACCTTCTTTGTATGATAATAGCCCGTGGGATGATGTTTCTACTTTGACCGTAAGCGCTGAAATCGCTGAAGCGGCTTTCAACCTGCCTCCTCTGACAGGAAGGGTCCCATAATTTTACTGTCATTGTAGTGTAACTTCAGCTGCCATAATCACGGGGGGGGCAAGACCCTGTCAGTGGCCACTTCCACATGCTGCTTACTGACACCGTTTTTCCTGAGAGGAGGAAATTCATGTACACATCTCGCTTGGATGTGAAGTGCCAAGTCATATTAGGCGGCTTAGTGTAAACGGTATAATTCTCCCCGACTGATCATGTTTGTATAATGAAAGCATGTCAATTCTTTGCATTGCTAGCACACACCGATGTAGATATGAGACATGAGTTGAGGTCAGTCTCTTCAGACTCACTCTGCAATAGTTTAGCCTTTCTGCAGTAAAAATCTGTCGATTTCGAATACATATTAAGTTGCGCAATTAATTAGGTCCAATCAGCGCTTCCATAAACAGAGGAAATCAGTTGATGGGAGTGCTGATTATAGCTGATTACACTCAGTGTGGTGTTGCAAAAAAAAAAAAAAAAATAGTTTTCCCATCACAATTTGCTCTGAGTTACTCATGCTATTGGACTATTATGTAACATGCTATAAATCACACACATTTGCACTAACAACACCACATATCGTCTGTCCGAATCTTCATCTTCCTGCTGTTTCCAGCTTGTTCATCATGATTACTGTTCTTTAGGACTGAAAAGCAATAGCCGCGTATTCTTCTGCTAGTTTTTCCTGTTCCAGCTGGTACTCACTCGTTGTTCGATACACTCGTCCCGACTGTCTGCTCTTCCCACACACACACAAACTGTGAGCCTTGTTACGTTTTGTTGCCAACCAAAGTAGGGCCAGAAGTTCGACAGTTGTATAACCCGCCCCCCCGCTCTCTGTCTAGAAACATGCAGCTTCAATGATCTCTGATTTTAATGATATTTAGACCTCTCACTGTCCCAAAGGTGGACTTCAGCAGTTACAAGAACCACTACAGCTGGCATGACAGGGAGCTACTGTGTGGGTTTTGTTTTTATCACTGGAAATACTAGCCGGTCAGCGATTTTGGAAAAGCTAGAGAGCCTGTTAGAAACATCTGGAAAAGCAGCATATCAATGATTCAAAGGTTGATTGAATAGAATTAAATTAATTATGTCACCAAATCATTTATTCTCTTCATGAAATTATACGAGTAATATTTCCCTTCTAATAAAAAAAGCCCTTCAGACCAAAATCTTCGCATCAGGTTTATAACGAGGGTGAAACAGCCAGTTAATTAGGGACACCTTTATCAATTACCTGCTGACCAATCAGAGAGAGGCACACTCGAAACCAGATGCTGAACAGCTTGTTTGTTACGACCAGAACAGGTTGCGTGCGCCGCACTCAAGGGCACATCAACCTTGACCCAGTTGCTGAGGGAGAAGGGGAGCCACCCCACCCCCGCCGCCCGCATCCACCAGCTGTTGTATGAGACACTAATACATCACCTACCGTTCCAGGGCCTGTTTACTGACCTGAGCACTATTATTACAATGGACCAAATGTAAAACAAAGTATGAATATGTCTGTGATTGTTGCCACTCAGTCCAGAACACAAAAAACTCCCCAAAAGGTAATGAAACTAGATTTATACTCTGCTGGCGGGGATAATCACATAAATTACTGTTTCAATACAGAAATCCTATTTAATGATCTGCACGCATATGTGGCCTCTACAAAGGTTCATTAGCTGCTTAAACTGTGGAGCTTATAAGCAGCATTATATATCAGGTTCTTGGAAGGGAAACGAAACAGAACGACATGCGTCTACAGTCTCTCTAAAAATACGACAAGAAGTGACAAAAAAAACAAAAAACTGTGGGGGTGAAAAAAACTTGGAAACAGGCAGGCCAGCCTGCTTACATTTATTAAAAAAGTAAGATGACGTAAGCTAACGATCCGAGCTAAACCCGGTGAACAATATTTAAATAAAAGAACAACAAGCCTCCGAATTCAATGCCACATTAGTTTAAACATAAGAGCCCAGGTTTAGATTTGGATCACAAAGGAACACAGACAGAAATCAAAGAGCAAGATGAGTTTCTAGTTTTATGGATCTCAGTGAGTGAGCTGGATCAAAATAACTCGTTGGTGTTTGATCGGGGTGATGATGGCACGTTCCTCGTCTCAAGAATACTGTGATAGAAATGAAAACGTCTTAATCTCCCTCTCCTTTGCGTTCTGATGCCACTTCCCTCTTTCATGCTCCCTCTCTCTCTCCCCCCTCCTGTGCCTTGCTCTCTTCATCTCCATGTAATTCATCCCTCCTCTCCCTTTGCTCACCCTATAATCAAGTCTTTTTCATGTTGTTTTGCAAAGTGCCATGTGAATCTGTCCCACGCTCCTCTTCCGCCTCGTTCTTCCTCACCTTCTCGCCTCCTTTTTCAATCATACTCTTTCTCTATTTTTCCAATGTCAGGACTTGAGGAAATGTGTCGCCGTCAAGAAGGCTTTGCTGTTCATGGGCACGGGGATAGTATAGAGATTCATAGTGCGGGGATTTATGTATTGGCCAGTACCAAGTGCCAATTTAATACATTACTTGATACACTCGGGCCATTACTTTGGGGTCACAGGACAAAAGTGGTTGCGACAGACTCCATTTTTCTTCATTACAGAGATCTGACATCTTTCTGTGTATGAAACAGGCAGAGTATCAGCCGCCGTTTCATTTTGTGCCACGTTATCACTGACTCTTGGATTAGTACTGTAGCTTTGATGTAATTTTCCAGTGCCAACACTCTGTTTTATCCATGAATAGAACTGATATCCAGACTGTGCATCCTGAGTGCCAGCAGTGTAAGATTAGAAAGCTGATCGGACTGTCAGGGAGGTAAAGTGAATACTTTGAGGATGGGCTTCCCATTTTAAAGGAAAAAAAGTTGCGTTCCGCGGTGACTGACATGTTGGTTTTGTCAGTATAAGTGTGCAGAACACTCCTCTCAGACTGTTTGATGTTCAGCAGGTGAACTGCAAATGTTCCCTTGTGTTATAGCGCGGGAACGTCAGACAGATTAGAGCTGCAGAAGTATGAAATTTGCCAAACGCCTCTGACATTTCCCGTTGATAAGGAAAGTGAACCCCAGACAGTGAATAGAACGGTTCGGAGAGACAGCGAAGAGTGGAGATGCGTCAGAGTTTAACAGCTCAGTGTGAAGTCCTGCAGTCAGACGGCCGGATGGACGGGCGTCGGAAGAGCAAACAGATCATCGTGATTGAGATAACGGTGACTTCGAGGAGACATCTTGTCCTGAGTCGCCCACATTGTCCCACACAGAAAGTAGGGCTGTAACAACACAGATGGATATGACACACTTTGTTTATTCATCAAGTTATTTGAGCTTGACATTGGAAACTGCAATTGACCAAAAAACAATCTCCGTATCACGCGGTTCTCATCAGCTGCTTCAGTTTGCTCCCTTGCAGTGGAAGTGTAGGTGTTCAAACGTTCTATGAATCTGATCTGCCCCCTCATTCTTTTAAATGTGACCACTGCGTTGAAGCAACACGGGTGCAAACGCACAAAACAAGCAGCATTTAAATCGATTGTGGTTTGACTTTTACTTCATTATCTGTGAAGTTGCTACGTTCGACAATGGTCACACAGCAGCTGCTTGTCTACATGTACATATTGGTAGAAAACAAATACATAACGATTCGGCATCATTACACGTCAGCCGAAGTCAGTCAGTCCATTTTTGTGACTTTCTGTAACCCACATTCTAAAAACCACTGCCTGCTTCACACAGCGATTGGCCAGGTGTGTGTGGAGGTATGAGAGCAGGCTGGATTTGAACTTCTCTCTTTTTATTTTTTCATTCTTCCCACAACTGTATCTTCCCTGTGTGCAAATGTTCTCATTTGTATCTCGCCCCTCTCCATTACGGCAGGCTTCCTGCTGACCATTCAGAGAAGCTATAAACACATTTGCCTTCGAAATACCCGTTGAACAAACTAGCATCCAAACCAGCATTCCCCAGCTTTTAGAATTGCGTATTCGGTCTGATCAGCAACCCAAAGAAAAGGCAAATCTTTGTATCTGTGATGCAGCAAATCTTGTTACGACATGTTTGCCTTCTCAACCCTTTTTTCGTTTGATAGAAC